TAATGACTTTGCTGGATGGAGTAATGTAGGTTATAGGTCCTTGCTTTTCATTATTTTGAATACTTTTTGCCAGTGCCTTCTAGGCTGCGGAGTTTCTTTTGAGAAATCAGCTGACAGTCTTATGGGAACTCCTTTGTAGGTAACTCTGCTTTTCTCTTGCTGCTTTTAAGATTCTCTCTTTATCTTTAACTTTTGGCATTTTAATTATGATGTGTGTAGGTGCTGTCTTTTTTGGGTTCAACTCATTTGGGATTCTGTGCTTCCTTGACTTAGATGTCTGTTTCCTTTGCCAAATTAGGAAAGTTTTCTTTCATTATTTTTTCAAATAAATTTCAATTCCTTGCTCTTCCTCTTCTTTTGGCACCCCTATAATTCAGATGTTGGTATGTTTGAAGATGTCCGCAAGGGTTCTTATTACTATCCTCTTTTTTTAAAATTCTTTTTTCTTCTTGCTATTCTGTTTGAGTGCTTATTTCTTCCTTATGCTACAAATTGTTGATTTGAATCCTGGCTTCCTTCACTCCACTCATGGTTCCCTGTAAATTTTTCTTTGTTTCATTTAGAGTAACCTTCATTTATTTCTTCCTTTATGTTGCTGCTGTACTCAGTGAGTTCTGTGAGCATCCTGATTACCAGTGTTTTGCACTCTGCATCTGATAGATTGGTTATCTTCATTTTGTTTAGTTTTTTTTGGTGGGGGGGGGTGTTTGTTCTAATCTTTCATTTGGGCCATATTTCTTTGTCTTCTCAATTTGGCAGCCTCCCTGTGTTTATTTCTGTGTATTAGGTAGAGCTTCTTTGACTCCTTGTCTTAGTAGTGTGATCTATTGTAGAAAAGACACCTGTAAAATTATGTGGGGTAGAGCCATAGGTAATTCCAGGATGGGGGAACCCACTTCACTGCTTTGTGACTATGTGTGTGGGGAGGGCTTGAGAGCGGAAAATGGTGCTACCTGGCTTCTGGAATTTTGTCTGGCACTTGCCCTGTTTCCAGTCACTACCCACTTCCTGTATGCAACTTGTGCCCTTCCAGCTGTTGCCCTGGTGGTGAATCCCCGGGTGTATGGGTCTGCACACATTCTAAGTCCATGCAGCCCCTTCAAATGGAGTTTCCTGAAAATCCAGCAGTTTCTTCTGCTGTTCCAACCCCCACTGGTTTTTACAGCCAGGAGTTATGGGGATTTATCTTCCTGACACTGGAAGCCTGGGCTATGCTGTCTGGTTTGGGGCTGGGATCGCTTGCTCCCAAGGTATCCATCCTGATTTTTATCTACCATTTGTGAATATGGGATCATCTGTTCTGCCACTGCCACTGCTTTCTGTGCCACACTGCGTCTCTGTACCTCTCCACCCATTTCTGCGACTCTGCCCATCCTTCCCATCTGGATGGATGTGGCTTCTTTAAATCCTAGATTGTTGGACTTCCACACAGCTCAATTTTCTGATGGTTCTGTGTGTTATTTGTTTTGGGATCTAGTTGCAATTCTTTCTATGGTTGCAGGAGGAGGTCAAGGGTGTTTACCTATGCCTCTATCTTGACCAGAAGCCCTCTGATTTAATTTTAAATTGTGAAGGTAGTACAAAGTATGAAAGTTTGATCTTTATGCTGAAAAAATATAACATGAAGGCCCCCACTTTCCCCAGCTCTTAATCATACTTTTAAGTAGTAACTCAAACTGAGTTTTTGGTCTATGCTCATATGTTAGCATTTGTGAGCATCCGAATGTGTTTTTCTGTCTTAAAGTAGATAAGCTTATACTATATATTTTAGTGACAACTTGCTTTCTCTTCCACAATGCATACTATATTTTGCATATCTTTAGAGTTACCTTCTTTTTTCTTTTACTAACAAGATTTATTCCTCACTTATGCATCTGTAGGTTGACTTAAGTGGTTCTCCTTTTTTAAAAAATTTTATTTTTCAATTATGGCTTACATTCAATATTATTGTGTATTAGTTTCAGGTGTACAGCATAGTGGTTAGACAATCATATACTTTACAAAGTGATTGTTCTGATAAATCTAGTGCCTACCTGGCACCATACATAGTTATTACAACATTGACTATATCTCCTATGCTGCACTTTACATTCTCATGACTATTTTGTAACTACCAACTTGTACTTCTTAATCCCTTATAGAGTTATGTTCTTAAACCCTAAATCTGAGTCATTATTCTCCTGTATAGGCCAGGGAATTAGGAACTCTATACCAAATTCTTTAAGTCCCTGCCAGAACAAGCCATGCCTTCTACCCTCATTTTATCCTGCCACTTCCTTACTGTGCTTCACTTTTGCCTGATGGATCTTTTTTGATTTCTAGAACATATTAAGTGCCTTGATAATCTAGGGTTTTTGTCTATGTTGTTCATTTTTTAAGTATCTTTTCTTGTTAATTCAAATTTTTATTTGTTTTTTTTTACCCTGCTTATAGCCTTACAGGGAAGTTATACTGTGTAATATGTCAGTGCCATTATATTTAGAGCTACATGGGGCTTTTTAATCTCTTTAAAAGTAGCTTTATATAGCCTGATAATAAAATAAATGTGCTGAACAGCATATTGGAGCTGAGTGTATTTAATAGTTTATTGTTGAAACTGATAACAGTTTTTTACAAAAATTTTTATTTATTGATTTTAGAGAGAGAAAGGAAGGAGGAAAAGGGGAAGGAGGGGGTGGGGAGGGGGGAGAGAGAGAGAGAGAAACATCGATTTGTTGTTCCACCTATTTATGATGCGTTGGTTGATTCTTGTATGTGCCCTGACCAGAGATGGCTCCTGCAGCCTTGGTGTGTTAGGATGATGCTCTAACCAGCTGAGCTGCCTGGCCAAGGCCTGATAATAGTTTTAAGGTCCAGTATATAATTTGTCCTCAATAGAATATTTTGGGTTGAATGAATGACAAGTGAAAGATTTAAGATAGTTTGATTTCACTTGGAAGTTCATTTATTAGAATTTGCTTTTCATAGTAATAAAAGTTAGGCATTCTGACTAGTTGAAAGATAAGATTGTTCTGTGGCAGTTTATAGAAGTGCTAGATTTGTGGCAGTTAAAGAATTTTTAGAAGCTTTGCTTTGTGTAAACATACATCTCTATATATACATATATTCATAATATGTGTATACATAAATAAATGATAAAATATAACTAATGAATTCTAGGAATTATCTTTTAACATCTGCCTGTTAGTTCTCTCAAGATATTGAACTTTTTAGGCAGCAGTTTATTTTCTCAAAATATATTTTGCAAATGGACTTTTGCACTTTTGAAAGAAAAGACCCGTTCAAAGTTTCCTTCTAAGGCTTCTTATAATCCAGTTTCCATCAGCCAACACTCTTCCTGTATTTTGTTCGGGAGGCACTAATTGTCTGCATTTGGCAGGTTTAACACTTCCTGACAGAGAGGCTATTAAGTGGAAGTATTCTCCAATAACTGTCACTGGCTTGAACAAAGAACCTTCAAACTCAATGTGTGGAAACCACTAACATTCTTAAATGACCCTTTTCATGGATTTTTATCCCTTTAAGCTAAAATTTGGAGAAATAGGGTCAGGAAAAACGCAAGGTGTAATAAAGCAGTAAACCTTGATTTGGGGAAGGGGGTAGAGTGGGAGGTATAGATTTATCTCTGACTTGAAAACAATTGTTATTTGGAAAATCTCATTAGCAGATGTGACTGCATGGAGTTAAAAAAAAAAAAGGATTTAAAACTGATGTCGCTTTCAGGACCGCTTTGAACTTAACAAGCACCTATTTGTGGAGCAGACTGGCTAATGAAAGGAAATTAAATTTTTCTGACAACTTCCCCTGCCAACCTCCTTATTCAGGGGATGTTATTAGGTACTGAAGACTTTTAAGGAAGATTTTTTTTTTATTAGACATAAACGAACCAGTTATAAACATCCTCTGCTCCCCCTTTTGGGGGAGGATTCTGACTTGGTTACTCTACCTTTTTGAAACCACTAGCTGGTAAGCATGCCTGAATTTTTTAAGCTAGCTTAAAAGCTTAGAAAATGCCTTCCCTTTAATATTTTAAAGTTATTTTCTAAAAAATTGCTTACCAGCTAGTAGTTTAAAAACATTGTCATTCCTTCTGATAGTTACTTCATGTCACTGAATTATATAAAAAAGTTATATTTACTAGAAGGCTTGTATTTAACACCTTCTTTTTAGCTTTCTCTTTTTATATGAGGAAATGTTTCAAGAGGGTCCTATTATGAGGCATGTTAGAGGAGAGTTAATGATCAATGAAATGGTTTAGGTTGAAGGGAAGTTTTTGTCTTTTCAGTAGCATTGGTTGATATTTAGCAATAACTAATCATTACATTCATAAGAATATACCGTTTTGGAATGCATTTTCTTTGACTGGCTTTTTGGAAGTTTCCCTCCCACTGGTTGGTTTGTTGAATTTAAGGTTTTAAAGACAAAATATTGGAAAAAGTATAAAATGAAAAAGAAGAAAGAAAAATAAATGGATATTTCTAAAGGAATTGTTTTTGGAGAACAATTGGCCATTCCTTTAGATATTGGGAATTTGTTTTTATTTCTGTAAAAGTCTGTTGTGTTGAGCTTCTCCTAAACAATAGAGAATCAACTCCCCCTGCTGACAGAATCTAGGAAAACATGACATAAATATCAGACAGAAACAAGCTGGCTGTGGACAAGCTTTAATGATCTGATTTATGATTTAGTATTGATTGTAAACATCTAAATTCTGCCATTAAACTCAAGCAACTGCACCAAATCATTTGGCAATTCTGGTAGTGCTTCCTGCCAGCTCATTTCAAACTGCTTTGAGTTTCTTAATATAATAATGGTGAGGTAGAATTTACATTCCACTTATGGTATTAATTTTACATTTCTCTGAATGAAAAGAGTTAGAAGGTTGTAAAATTGAACATTAAATGAATCAGAGGAGACAGTAGTGCAATATATGACTGCCCTGAAGACATTGTGCAATGGCTGATGGGATTAATGTTAGGTCTCATTTCCTGCTTTTACAGGATGCAGATGAAGCTGTCAGAATTGCAAGGGAAATTGGTAAGTTCTTGAATTAACCATGGTAGAGTTTCTGTGTCTTTTAGCACATATGGTTGAATAAATATGTAATAAGAAATTCTCATAGAGCAAATAATATTTTAATAATTTAGGTTTCTGATTAATTGTCACTCTGGAAGAAATTATCAGCCAAATTACCATATTCCATTATTAAAGTGGACTTTAAATAGTAATTGGACCTTAATTATAGCTCTTTTATAAGATGAAATCACTGCCTAATTAAAAGAAGGAATTGTCTTAAGTATTCTTGAGATTGAATGTAATGTAAATTTATATGTACATAGTTGAATGCACCTTATTAAAATTAAGGATATATGTGATTAAAATGAAGATATCATACTTGACAAGGCTCTTCGAAGTTTTTGCTTTTCCTAGGATGTTAAATATCAACAATCTTGCTAGGAAAGAGAAAACAGAATGTGAGAAGTTAGGATTAAGTTTTCTAAATGGGAGTAAAAGGTAAAGTGAAGGACATTTTAATGACTGTTACAGGCGTGATTGTACTGGGGCAGTGTTTCTCAACTCTATATTTTCAAAAATATTCCTGGAGCTCATGAAAACCATTTTATTTTTACTCTCTGCTAATTAAGAAAATGTATGAGGGTACACTGTTATCATGGGTCAACAAGACTATTAAATAACTTTACAGTTTTATTAATCAAATTAGTATTTGTTTACATTTGATAGACATTTGTAGATATTTGGGAGAAATTAGGCAACCCTTGATAATCAGTAATTCACAGCACTTTCTTAGCATTCCTACACTGATAGGGCCAAGCTTTTTAGCTCCCACATTAACATTTCTTTAGTTCTGTTTTCTCTTTAAGATTGATCATTGAAAATTATTTTCTTCATTTGGAGATCATTTAATTTGGCAAAGTTTACGTAGTTGTGATATGTAGAAATATCTTCTTGGTCTGAAAGTGACCACTTGTTTTAGTAAATACGTTCTTTCCAGTAGGCACTGGCAAGCTTAGCAGTTCTTTAGTGATCTAAAAAGATGTTTGGCTTGTTGCATCCTTGTTTCTAGTTGGCCTGGCTGAATTTTTTGGTCTTGGCTTATAGTTATGTGGGTTCTGTTGTTAGTTTGTTTTGCAAACATTTATCTTAATAATATAGATACTGGACTTAAGACTAGGCCATAGAGAATCATACTTTATCTGAGAACAGCATCTCATCATTAATCATTTTTTCAGACTTATCAAAATTTTCAAAAAGCATTTCAGTACTTCATGGGAAGGTTTGCTAGATTGCTTGAAGTTGGAATTCATGGAACTGATTTGTGGCTTATTTTTTTGAGAAAAATCAAAAGCTTCTCTTAGTGGTTTGAAATCATTCGAATTTCTCATAGTCTAAGGGACATGTATTGGGTTGGCCAAAAAGTTCATTTAGTTTTTTTCCAGATGTTGGCTCTAGTGCTTAGTTGTCTTTAACTTCATTAGAAACAATTTTGTTAGAATGTATTGGGACAGCTGTCATATCAGCAGCCTTAAAAAAATCTTATCAAAATTGGTGAATTTTTGTGTAGCTGTTTTAATATTGATGATTAGAGAAGATACACATTTTTTTTGGCATATATGCTTTACTTTTTCAAGAAAGGTAAAAATGCAACTGAAATGCAAACAAAACATTTGTGCAGTGTATGGAGAAGGTGCTGTGACTGGTGCAATGTGTCAGAAGTGGTCTGCAAAGTTTTTTGGTAGTATTGACATTTTGGCCAAATAATTTTTTTGCTGTGGGGCTGTGTTATGCCTTGGAAGATGTTTAGCAGCACCCCTGGCCTCTACCCACTAGTAGCCAGTAGCAGGAGACAGCCAACATACTCAAAATATCCAGATCAATGAAGTTATTGGTGAAAGTGAAAAATGTGTCTTTTATGGAAAAAAACCATATGGACTTTTTGGCAAACCCAATAGCCAATACCTGCTGGCTCTTGAGGAGACTTTCCTAAAACACTTCCATCTTATTCTGTTGCATACTTTTCTATTTCAAGAGTCATCTTTCTAGTTCAAATTTAGGTACTATTGTTATTATCTACATGATGGGGTATAATAATGCTGTTATCATAATATTATGTACGTAAAAGGGGCAAAAGTTAGAGGAACTTAGAGAAATAAAAAGGGATTAGAAGAAAATCTTAAATTGTATTGGTGTGCCGCATTTTGAATTATGAATATTTAACTCTTGAACATTTCCTTTGTATAAATGGCAGTCTGCAGATTGCTTTGCTTGCTTTCATGTCTTCTACCTTTAAAAAGTAACCTGTGACCTTTAAAATAACCAGTGAGTCATGATGGGACCCTGACCAGTTCTCAATGCTTATTTTCCTCCAATATTTTAATGCTGTGTTTTACCCACTTTTCAGTTTTTTACTATTAATGTTACCTAATTCAATCTTAGGCTCTTTATATTTGACCACATCCTTTATGACTCCTTTCCTATCTAATTCTTCCCCAGTTGCTCCTTCACATTTGAAAATAAATGATTGCAATCATAGTTATTAAGTATCAGAATGCTAGTGTTTTGCTTATGCTGAAAGAAAGGGAACTGTAAAATTTAAAGTGAAATAAAACATATTAAAGAACCGGGGTCATCAGCTTTATAAAACTTTTGGAATTTCCCTGAATCACCATGGAAACCTCCCATAAAACCTTTTTACCTCTAGTGCCAGCTTCTAAAATAAATGAATTACATATTAAAGTGTCTTGGTTTTCTGTATTGTTTGGTGATTCATCAGTTTTGTTTTCTACTAATTTTATTGAGATATCTCACATTTTAACTACATTATAATTTCTATGAGCCTTTGTGAGTTTATCTAAGAGTTGAATTGACCATTGATTCTGCGGGAAAATATGTTCCTACTTATACACAAATTGTGCATTTTACATGTGTCATAGATTTCTCTGTTTTACTTCTTTCTGTGTTACATGAATGAAATTGATCATCTTTTATGTGACTCCCTCCTCTCTGATGTCTCTAACTTCTCTTCTAGAAGGAGGAATCTATTCTGCCAAAGGAGGAAATTGTATTGAGCATTGATGAATTAGGCATCTTTTACATAATAGTAGGTCTTGTTTATGGAGCATTCTTTCCTTGTAGCAGGCACTTTGTGAATGTTAATTCTAATGCTAATTCTTGGGTTAATTATTTTCATTTACATTTAAGAAACTAAGGATTAGAAATGGTAAGTAATTTGCTCAAGGTCATAGAACTACTGAGTGGTGGGCCTGCTTTAAATTTAGGTTCATTCAGCTCTAACAACCATGGATTTTTCATTATACTTTGGTTAAACTAATGGGATTAAAGGATGATAGTTAAAATGTGAGTCACCACTTTGTTTAAAATACTGTAAAGCACTTAAGCATATTATATGTGGAATTAAGAAAAGGACAGTCTGTTATCATTGACAGGGTGAGAGACAGTTAAGATTTAATATGTTACTTCCAAGTACTTGTTTTTGGTCTCTCTTGTCTTTCTCATTCTCTGTCCTGATTTTTTCCTTTGACCTTTCTAAGTTTAAAGATACAGGGCTCTTGGTCCCCAGTTTATCTTTAACCCCAGAGATAACAGAAATCAGTGAGCTTGATTTGCATTAAAGTCTGATCTTTTTACTGGATCAAAGGTCCTTAATACAATTAAACCAAAACTGATTCTTAAAAGGAGAAGAAATTGTAAATCTAAAACCTTTAACAACTTTAACAACTTCCAGATTATTCTGATTCTTTTATTTTGCCTGGCTCACAAATCACGCCCAATTTAAATTTTGTTTTTCTCCCCATCCTTGGTTCGTCCACCATACTCCAAATCTGATTCTTCCACGGTTTCTACATCTTAGTAAATGTCACGTCATTAATGCAGTGACTAAAGCTAAAACCCAAGATCTGTCCTGGTGCCATTTTCCCTGTCATTCCATTGTCAGTCTATCAACAGATACTGTCAATTCTTGACACAAAATAGTTTTCATACTCAGTATTCACTATCTTTACTACCAACACTCTCCTCCAAACTACCGTTGTCCTTGCAGGGACTATGATGACAGTTTTTCTACTTTTCTTAAACATTTCAAAGCCATTCTTCACATAGCAGTCAATGTGATATTTTAAAACTCTAGTTAATAACTCATTCCACCCCATCCCTACTTTAAACCCTCTAATGGCTTTCCATTGCACTTAGATAAAATAAAGCAAAATAAAAATTCCTTACCTTGATTACAAATCCCAAATGATTTGGTACTTCCCTTCTTTCTAATCTGATTTTGTATTACTCCCTTCCTTGCCAACTATACTTCAGTAACAATAGCTTTCTTGAACACACCATATTTCAGGACCATAGATTAAGATTTTTTTTTTGGAGGAGGAGAGGAGCCTGGGATACTCTTGCTGATATCATCACACAGATGGCTACTTGTTACCTTTCATATCTCTGCTTAAATGTTATGTCTTCAAAAGAAGACACATTGATCATTCTGTCTTATACCAACCAATAGGCTAAATCTCTGCATAGTATTTATGACTTTTAAATGTTTTTCTTGTTTAACTTTTTCCTGAATATATTATTTTGAAAAATTTTAACCATATGGCATTTTGAAGGAATTTTACACTGTGTACCTGTATATTCAATACCAAGATTCCAGTATGTATTTTTTGCTAGATTTGTTTTATCGTTTATGTATCCACTTGTTAATTCATCTCAATATTGATGCATTTCAAAGTACACTGCAGATATCAGTGTGCATTCCAATAAATACTTCAACATAAATATCATTACCTGAATGCAACATTTCTATACAATTTTATCTTGAGGAGAGATTTATATACAGTAACATGATCAAATTTTTAGTCTGCATTTGTTTATTTTGATAGATACATCACTTGTGTAATCCAAAACCCCACTAAGATGTTGAACATTATTGTCACCCCAGAGAGTTCCCTCATTCTCCTTATAAGTCAATCCTCACACCTCCCTTCCCCCCACCACATCTA